AAGACCAAAAGAGAACTAGGGACAGAATAGAGCCCGTTAAAGGTCAATGTGGCAACTTACGTGTGGAAACACATGAGATGGGTGAGATACAAAATTAATATTTTGCTTCTATATATACTGTGGAGAAGGACATGGAAGCTAGGGAACATGGGGAAATAAGTAGTGATGTCTTGAAAAGGGTTCATATAGCAGAAGAGGTGGTGCCGGAGGTCTTAAAACACATAAAAGTAGATAAATCCCCAGACCTGATCAGGTGATGCCCAGAACTTTGTGGGAAGCTAGGGAAGAAATTGCTGGAACCCTTGCTGATATTTTTGTATCATCAACAGCCATGGATGAGATGCTAGAAGCCTGGAGGTTGCTTAATGTGCTTAAGAAAAGTTGTAAGGAAAAGCTGAGAACAATAGACCAGTGAGCCTTACATCAGTTGTGGGTAAGTTGTTGGATGGGATTCTGAGGGACAGGATTTACATGTATTTGGAAAGGCAAGGACTAACTAGAGATAGTCAACATGGCTTGTACATGGGAAATCGTGTCTCCCTAACTTGATTTGAGTTTTTTGAAGAAGCGACGAAGATAATTGATGAAGGCAGAGTGGTAGATGTTGTCTATGTGGACTTTAACAAAATGTTCCACAAGGTTCCAAATGGTAGACTGGTTAGTAAGGTCAGATGACATGGAATGTGGGGAAGCTAGCCAATTGAATACAAAATTGGTTTTAAGGTAGGAGACAGAGGATCGTGGGTAGAGGGTTGCTTTTTGCACTGGAGGCCTGTGACAATGGTGCTGGGTCTATTGCTTTTCATCATTTATATGTTATGGACCAGCCCAGGTCCCATCAAAATATTTTAAGAAGGTAGCCTAGATCCTAACTTTTTCTTATTTTAAAAGTAGATGCGAAGTGTGTGTTCTGGATGTAATGCAACTGGTCAGACCACTTGACGTTAAGAAAAACATAATTTATTTAAACACTGTAGTTAAAATACAAACAAAAGAAAGAGAATTTAGAATAACAACTATTGGAAAACTTAACCAAATAATAGATACAGTAGCTATTATTAATTAACTAATATAGTAACATTCCATAAACACACCCTTCAGCAAAAAGGTAAATTCAAACACAGATTCTTACAGACAATTCTTCAATCCAGGAGGAAATGATATCAAGAGAGATTTCAGAGAATGTACCAGCTAGAAACCATTTCACTGAAGCTTCAACTCTTCTGGGACCCAAACAGGTCTGACTGCTACAACTTAAAAAAAATAGAAAGCTTGATTTATCAGAACTGGCCACTCCCCTTTCATTGTTACAACTGTTTTAAAGAAAAACCTAAAGACCTCCTCTAACTGTTGGCTATGGCCGTCTACCAAAGCCACTTCAGTACCTCTGCCTTTACAACCTCTCTTCAAATAAACACCCAGGACAAAATAATCTTTTGAAAGTGACAGCTTCATCACATATATAAATGATTTGGATGTGAATATGGGAGATTTGGCTAGTAAGTTTGCAGATGACACCAAAAATAGGTGGTGTAGTGGATAGTGAAGAAGATTATCTCAGAATACAATGGGACTTTGATCAGATGGGCCAATGGGCAGGTAGAGTTTTATTTAGATAAATGTGACGTGCTGCAGGGCAGGACTTATACTGTTAATGGTAGGACCCTGGGGAGTGTTGTCAAACAAAGAGACCAAGAAGTGCATTCTTCCTTGAAAGTAGAATCTCAGGTAGACAGATTGGAGAAGGTGGCATTTGGCACACTTGCCTTCTTTGATCAGAATACTGAGTATAGGAGTTGGGATGTCATATAGCGGCTGTACAGGCCATTAGTTAGGCCACTTTTGGAATACTGCCGGAAAAAAAATCAAAAGAACTGCAGATGCTGTAATTCAGAAACAAGAATAAAGATTGTTGGGAAAGCTCAGCAGGTCTGGCAGCATCTGTGGACAGAAGTTCTGAGCAAGGATCACTTGACCCAAAACGTCAGCTCTGATTTCTCCCCATGGATGCTGCCAGATCTGCTGAGCTTTTCTAGGAATTTCTATTGTTGTTTTGGAATAGTGCATTCAATTCTGGTCTCCCTGCTATAGAAAAGATGTTGTTAAACTTGAAAAGGTTCAGAAAAGATTTACAAGGCTGTTGCCAGGTTTGAAGGGCTTGAACCATAGGGAAAGGCTGAATAGGCTTGGCTATTTTCCCTGCAGGAGACTGAGGGGTGAACTTCTAGAGGTTTATAAAATCACTTGGGGCATGGATAGCGTGAATAGCCAAGGATTTTTTACCCTCGGGTGGCGGGAGTCCAAAACTAGAGGACATAGGTTTCAGGTGAGAGGGGAAAGATTTTAAAAAAGACTTGGGGGGCAATTTTTTCATGCAGAGGGTGGTGCATGTATGGAACAAACTGCCAGAAGAAGTGATGACGGCTGGTACAATGACAACGTTTAAAAGGTACCTGGATAGGTACATGAATAGGAAGGGTTTAGAGTGATGTGGGCCAAATGCTGGCAAATGAGACTAGGCCAGATTGCAATGTCTGGTTGGTGTGGATGAGGACTGAAGGGTCTGTTTTCGTGCTGCATGACTCTATAAATTACTAGAAAGTCCCACCAAAAAAGTGAAAACCAGACAGACCACTTAGTATCTATCCAGGCACTAAAATTACAATGGGAAACAGCCCTATTAACCTAGTAATCCTTTTTCATAAATGAGGGCTCATAACAAAATTGGGAAAGCTGTCTCACTGACTAGTCAAGCACCCACAGTCCCATACTGCCTGAATCATTCTGTACACACAAATGTCCCATACCCAACTATCACCATCCCTGGTTATTCCTCTTCCACCTGCAGAATAGACTCAGCAGAGTAGCATACAGTCAGGAGGGAAGTCTACTAATATTGACTCTACACCTCATGAAGTCAAATAGCATCGGATCAGACATAATAATCAGCAGCAAGTTTTTTTGCTTATGTACGTCCCCCCTCCTGACCAGCACTATTGATTGAGCTGATCGAGTCTGAAAGGACATTGCTGCTGGACTAAGTCTGTGACAGGTAGTGAGGGAAACAAAAGGGAAAAACATAAATCTCATTCACACCAATCCACCGCCACAGATGCATCTGGCTCTGACAGCATTATTAAGGGTGACCATTGAACGGTTCTTATGAAGACAAAGCCCCATCTTCATATTGAGGACATTGAAGTTGTGTTATGTGGCACCATCACCGTGCTAAATGGGATTGACTTCAAATAACCTAGCAACAAGACTAGGCATTCATGATACACCTTGAGCAATCAGCAGCAGAAGAATTGAGATTACTGCTTTTAAGAGATCCTGATTTTCAATCTCCTTCCTATCTTCTTAGAATCCATTTTCAGGACCACATCCTTCTCATCAGTAATCGGTATTAATGAATTCCACAACTTTGATGTTTACTGTTCCCCACAGGAATGGCCTGCAACCACTCTGTGACAGCCTTGACCCTGGCACCTGTGAGAAAACCAACCATTCTGAAGTCACATTTGTGGTCAAAAACACACTTGTCTGTTTCCCCATCTAACATATCCCTTATCATTACTGCTCTTCCACTCCTCTTTCTACCCTCCTGTACACCTGGGTCATCCATTACACATCATACCTATCTCTGACTGCATCCCTCCAAGGAGCCAATGCTCTCACTAGCATCTCAGGCAGAAAAATCAATTTGTAGCCATTTCCTCAGGGGACTCCTGCACTATCTGCCTGGTTCTCTTGCACTGCCTGGCAGTCACCCATTTCTTTGCTGTTTCCATACTCCCAGCCCCCAACCTTTAGTATGACCATCTCTCCAAAAAGCACTATCCACATAGCCCTTAGCTTCATAGATTCATCAGTGACTCCATTCCAGATATTTTCTAAGCAACCTGTTTAGAAATGTTTGTCCATACTGCTGGATCAGGTGGGACTTGAAATCAAGCTTCCCTTGGCTCAGGGGGAGGGACATTAACACTATTGCTGCAAGGGGATTTCACTAAACCTTCATATGTTATTGGTCAACCTGTTCAGAAAAATTAGTACACACCTCGGGAAAAAGTGGGTCTTGGCCCCAGATCTCCTGGCTCAGATGCACTACAATTGTATCTCAAGAACGCATCATCCAAGCTACCCAACCCAGAGCTAAATTACTATAGCTAGTGACACTTGATGTATTATCTACATACTGCAGGATACGCATGTCACGTGACCGAGTCACTACTATGCCTCAACCTCATTTCCCTTAGTAACATTTTTTTACTTGTATCGAACGTAATAAACTTCAAATATCGATAAACCTTTTAAATACTAATAAATGGGACTATTACTTTTCACACTTCGTACTGGTTGCAATAAACCATGCGCAAAACATCTTTTCTGAAATCCCAACATCAGTTTAATCCACTACTTTATATATCACTCGGGCATAGTCGCCTGATCGTGTCCTTTCCTGACCCTGACAAGTCACGAACTAGTTTAGCTTCTTCACGGTAATTAACACCAACTGAACTATTTTCAACTGATTGACAGGTTACTGCCGCAACCAGGCAGCTCCCTGTTGAACAAAGCAAAACAACTTGCTCGAAGGTTGTTAGTTTTGCGCTAGAGTCTGACTCTCAAGTTTCAACCCGAAAACAAGGCTCGCCGTAACTTATACGTGAACATAATTGGCTACTCTTTCTGTTTACGTCTCATCGTGCGCCCCTTCTTGCAACAATTATGTAACAAAAATCATTGGACGTATTGACAAATCACTGGTGGCCTCTGAACTAAGTTTCGGGCCAATGTAGACCTGCATCTAGAATGTTTAAACTGAAGTGGATTAGCCTGCTATACATGCACGGCTCCATGGACTCGCTCAACGCGGCGGGAGACAGCGGCTTTTGGTTTGCAGACGGGAGAGAGCCGCGGAACTGCAAGGGTTAACAGTGTGCGCTGCGCTGATTGGGCCGCAACGTGCCAGGCGGAGAAGGTATTGGTTGATGCGGTGAAGGAGGCGCTGTCCCGGAGCTCGCGATTGAAGAGCAACGAAGTGTTTTGGGGCGGCCGGCAGGGCAGTGCACTGCACCGACTGCTTACAGCGGGGCTGTACTCAGTCAGCTCATAGCCATGTGAACTTCAGTCCCCCGGCGAATCCGAGAGGCAGAGCGAGCGGAGCAGGAGTCCGTGCGAAGTTAGTGCTGGGAGTTGGACATCGGGCATCATTCGGCACTCTCCGGCTCGGCCCCATGTCAGCATGAGTTTCCGAGATCTCGACCGCACAGAAAAGTTTGGGAGACGCGAAGCCTCGAAATGTTTGAGTCGAAAGTCCGACTGTGATTGTTGTAGCCAAACGTCCAACTGTTTTTGACTGGCGACTTGAGAGCTGATCGGATCGTGGTTGGGGGCTGGGGGCAAGATATGTTTTGAATCCTCACATTCAACAGAGATGCAAAAAGCCAGGGTCAAGAAAATGACCTTAAATTATTTGCTTTTATCGTATCTAGTTTTTTACCTGTATTTGCAAGACGTCAGCGGTAAGTTAAAACGATAGTTAAAGCGTTTCGCTCGATGTCGTTAATTGTAAATACCAGTGATGTCAGGAATGTGTCTTGTGTTTAGTTGCTGATGCTTCACGTTTGTGGGATAAACTTTGACTCTGCTGAACTTCAGCATGAACATAATCTGAAGTTGTGGAAAACAAACAATTTACGCCCTTACTTAATGGTCACCCATAGGAAAGTGACAACTTTATTTGTGTCACAGGTTCCAATATTTGTACAAGTGGACGTGCTACCTCCTGCAAAGAGTGTTTGCTTATTCATCCTGACTGTGGCTGGTGTATTCAAGAGGTAGGCTGCTTGGCAGACTTAAAGAATTGCTATAAACTCTCAAGCTACCAATTTATGAAACATTGTATTTTCCTGCAACCTCCATTTTCACTGTTGAATGGAACATTTAGGTTAGCTCGTGATTGAGGTTGTTCTTTGTCCTTTGGTTCTGTGGCTGCTAATAACAGTGGTCTTTAGGGAAACATGCGGATAAAAGTGTGGAAAATTTGTAAGTTTAGTTAAAAAGAATCAATAACAAGTAATTACGATAACATTCTGTCAGTGAGTCTGTAATGTTGGCCTGCAGTAGATTATCAAATATAATATAATTTGCTGTTCAACTTTTTCCTGTTATCATGGGAAGCACCAATGAAAATTTACAAATACGTAGTCCGAGTGGAGGCACTGCAACATCGCCGCTGGTATAATCGCAACAGATGAGTTCTCGTAAATACAATACGGACTTGAAGATTTATATTGAAAGCAAAATATGTCTTTTAAATGAAAACTGGATTACATCTCCATTATCTGATCCAAACATTCCTATCATCAATATTATGTTTTATTTGAAACTCACTGGTGTGTTATGTAGATTTCAGCCACACGTACACAACATAACACATCCGTTGGTAACATCTGCTTAAAGTGGAATTTCAAATATGTAATATGAGGATGTGGAAATAATATATCTGAGCTTTGAGATTTTTAATAGTGCATTAATTTAATATACCAAAAGGAAGCTCATTTGAAGTGAAGTTCCATTTCACCTGATGAAGGAGTAGTGCTCTGAAAACTTGTGATTTCAAATAAACCTATTAGACTATAACCTGGTGTAGTGTGACTTCTGATTTTAAGAATGTATAGTTCTATCCTCCCAGTTGGATTGAATCAAACAAAATACTTTCAGGAACTGTAATAACTTCTAGGTGTCTACTGTTTATATAAAGAGGAAGAGGCGGTACAGCTTCTTGAGACTGATCTGCTGTGTTAAATATCTTGTTTGCCTGCCTTTGTTCTATGACCTTTTGTAAAGTCTTTGTCTAACAATGATCTATAACTTGGTTTTGAACATTTCAATTGACCCAGCATTCACAGCCTTTCATGGGAATGAGTTCCAGATTTCTGTGACCATTTATATGAAAAAGTGCTTCCTGATTTTGTTTCTAAATGGCCTGGTTGATCGATAATATTATTCCCTCATCTTCTGTCAGCCAACACTGAATGTAATTGTGGGGTCTGAACAAAGTTTGTGCCTAACTGAAGTAATACTTGCTAATTGTTGAATTTTAATCTGTTTGAACTAAAATCAACATTCCTTTAGTCTTTTTTGGTTACTTTTTGTTATTCGGACTAATTTCTATTGATTTGTGCACATAGAAACAAATGCTCCTCTGCTTGCAGTCTCTCCTGACTTTTAAAAATAAGATTGATTCCTCTTTGGATCTGAAGTGAATGATTCTATACATTTTTTCCTTGAAGTGCAACTGTCATAGTTTTATTCATTCACTACATCTGCCTGTTTTCCTTTCTGAATGTTTCAGCTCATCGACTCTGTGTTCCTTCTAACTTAGTGTCACCTGCAAATTTTTATATATCCCACTCTTTGTCCCTTCCTTGAAAGCTGTGTCAACAACAAACAGACTTGTTAAACCCTGCACAACAACAAAAACAAAGTTGCTGGAAAAGTTCAGCAGGTCTGGCAGCATCTGTGGAGGAGAAAACAGTGTTAACATTTTGGGTCCGGTGACCCTTCCTCAGAACTGCACAACCCTGCTCTAACAATAACTGGGAGGAAATCTTTGTCACAAAGCAGATATTCATTCAACTACAAATGCCCCTTTCCATTCTGCTGTGTCCAACCGTCTCTAAAGATCCCCTGCCATCTTGTGCTATCACTGAATTTAAATCATTTTCTAGTTTCTCTCATCTCCAATCAGACTCTACCCAATTCTTCTTGTCCATATGATTCACATCCTTTTCTCTCGACCATAGTAAACTGCTGAGCAGCTTCCCTTCCTGGCTTCGATGTTAGCTGATATTGATAATGGTTTCATATCCTTGTGCTTTTCCTCTTCCCGTCAAACCTTCTATCACTTTCCCTTTCGTTATTAAAAGCCATTCTTGATCTACCCTGTCCTGGCTGCTGTCCTGCATGATCTCCAACTGCCTTTTACATTCCAAAGCCATTTAATCTCTGTCTAATCAGTGTCCATATTTTCTGCAGCTCCGTGTTTGAAGCCATCCAATCAATTTTCTGACTGTACCACAGTCACAAATGACTCCATGAGACAGTAACTATGATAAACTATCCCTCCTCATTCTTCCTAATCTTTACATGGCTAACTGCAACATTCTCTTTCAACTTGTCCTCCACTATCCAATTGGGTGGGATTACCCTCACTTGGTTCCAATCTTATCAACCCAGCCATGGTCATAAAAATACTCCTCCTTGTACTCCTAGTCTTTTGGCTTTGGAGTTCCCAATTAATCTGTTCATGGCTGCCTTCTATTTCTCATCTACATTCTGCCATCATAAAAACTCATCAGGTTCCACTTGGAAGCTCATGACACCTGAATCATCTTTGCTATCATTCTTAACTCCACTAATGTCTCTGATTTGTCTGACTGTCCAAAATATGATACTGAAGCACAGGCTTGTTCCAATTAAATATTGGAAAAACAAAAAGCATTGTCTTCATTTTATTTCCCTAGCCATGGGCACCATCCATCTCCCCAGCAGCTATTTAATGTTTATTGAGACTGTTTGCAACTTTGACTGTAACTGACCTTGACATTGTCTTCCAAGCGCTTAACTGCTCCATTGCCATAACTGGTTACTTTTACCTCTGCTTTGTTACCCACCTCCAGGCTGTTGAGCAAATCTGCTGAAACCATCATCCTTGTTCTTTAAATATTATTTCCACGCTCACCTTACCTATTTCCCATCTTCAATGCTACATAAACTTGAGGACATCTAAAACTCTACTGCCTGTATCCTAACTGCTAGCAAGTTCCAATATCATCACCATCTCTGTTTGTTGATTTATATTAGCTTCTGGATAGTGTTATAAAGTGGGGGTTATCCCCCCTCTGAACTAAAACCAAAACCTCTAAAGAGGAGCATCATGCCCCATAATCTGTGAAAGGACTGTGAAAAGTGGTGTAACCTGCTTTTCAGCAAATTCTAGTGGTTGAACAAAATAAATCCCTGACACACACTTTACAGTCAACAAATAACAATTTTTTATCTAACTCTTAACACTGAACAAATTAACTAAACTATTAACAAACCAAAAAAAACCCTACTAACTACTATTTCCAGATAAAACAAGATCTTAATAGTATGCTGTTCCAATAAATAGAAGTCCTACTTATAATAAAATAAGTAGAATTTAGTCTCTCAAAATTACAGCCATATTAAGTGTATTCTGTAATGCTCTGTGCCTTGTCTGTCGATTTCTGTCAGGAATGCCTCCTTAGTTGATTCTTCGGTCAGGAATATTAACTAGTTATGCTGTTGATACCTTTTGATATTTAGATGGTGCTTTCACAGACTCCTAAAAGTTTTAAAGAGAGCCAGTAATTCTCTCATGAGAGCTGTTAACTCTGGCAAATTGCAGCTAATTCTCCTGTCTTTGTCCAACTGCCCTTTACTTTTATACCCCCAATGACATATCAATTTCTCACGATCAGATTGGTTGTCAAAACCACCAGATTCAAATTTGATTGGTTTTTGGTATCTAAGTACTTGATTCAAATTGATTGACTAAATTCAAAAACCTGTTGTCTTTGTAAAAATGCTGCTTGGCCTGCTAACGGTATGGCCTTTTGGTGCAAATGTTTCAATTCGGGTGCTGTCTGTAATTGCAAACTTTCAAGCTGCTCAAGATAGAGTTACATATTTTATAATAATTCCATTTGTATATAACATGGAAACATAGTATTCAATCTTGTATCAGCATTTTTCTTTTAAACCCACAACAGAGCATCTGCAATAACATTTTCATGACCCACAACATGTACAATCTGTAAGTTAAATGCTTGTAACATAAGACTCCAATGAAATTGCCTGGTGTTCTTGTCCTTAAATCTTTTCAGAAATGTCAAAGGATTATGATTGGTATACACCATTGTCTCTGATGCATTGTTTGTGATGTAAACATGTTGTAAGGCCAGTATCAAATTCAATAACTCTTTTTCAGTGGTTGAATTTTTTTTGGTGGATATTTAGTTTTCTGTCCTGAAAAATAACCAATTGGCCTTTCAATTCCACAATCATCCCCCTGTAACAACACAGCTCCAACCCCTACATTGCTTGCGTCAATGGTGACTTTAAAGGGCATCTAAAAAACGTGGCGTGGCTAAAACTGGTGCGCTGGTTAACACTGCTTTTAAATTCTCAATGCCTCATGGCATTATTCTGTTCAACGAAATTTTGTGTTCTTTTTTAACAAATCAGTCAACGATGCCGCCACACTACTAAAGTTTGGTACAAGTTTCCTGTAGAATTCACTCAACCCTAAAACCCGTAGCACCTCCTTCTTCAAGGTTAGTTTTGGAAACTCCGCAATGACCTTTGTCTTCACATTCCTTGCTGTCATCTGTCCATACCCAATTGTTGTGCCCCAAGAATGTCACTTCTGCCTTCACAAATTCTGCTTTTGCCAAGTTTATGACCAACTTTGCCTTCCATTGTTTCGAGGAGCTCTGTCAAATGCTCCATGTGATCTTTCCATGAATGGCTAAAGATCACTAAGTCATCTATGTAGATGGCACAGTTAGTCAATCCTGCAACAACTCTGTTCATAAGCCTATGAGTAGTGGCTGGTGCATTTTTCATTCCAAAGGGCATTAGTTTAAATTGATATAGCCCATTTGGGGTTAGAAAAGCTTCTCTTGCTCTCTCTGACAAAGGTACTTGCCAGTAACCACGAAGTAAGGTCAACTTTGTGATGTAAGTGGCTTGTCCTACTTTTTCCACACAGTCCTCCAGCCTCCAAATTGGGTATGAGTCCGGTTTG